AAAAAAAAAAAAAAAAACAAAACAAAACAACAACAACATTAAAATTATTCTGCAGAGTGAAGGATTTATTTATACAGTGGATTTCCTGTCTTTCCAATGTGGTCCCCAGCCACAACCTATTCTCCTCCCCAATATATTTTTGCTCCAACCTCAGATACAGTCTCTCTTGTAATACCAAGATGTGAATTTGCACATAGCCCGCTACCTGGACTGCGTTTCCCCTCCTGTCCCCAGCAAAATACTACTCACCCAATGACCAGCTGAGCTTCTTGCACAGCATGAGCTCTGTTCAGAGCTGACCCTTGCATATCATTCTGCCTTGTCTCCTGGTTCTTCCTCCTCTTCCTCTCAGAAGCTTCCCCATTTATCTGCTTGCTGTTCCCACAATATCCCACATTCTTTCTTGCTTTTACGAGTTGTTGCTTATGCTTGTTTCTCTGCACTGTTTTCAGATTCAGCTTGAGCCTCCCTTCTTTGCTGAGCCTTTCCTGACCCACTCAGGGTAGAACGAATCGCTTCTACCTTTGCATTCCTGTGCCCTGTCTAGGCTAAAATGTGTTCACATCTTCAACTGGACTAACAATCCCTCAAAGCAGGGATCCTGATCTCTTTATTTTATAGCCAGCACAAAGCATTGTATCCGGCATATAATAGGTACTCAAAGGTGGAATGAATAAATATTTTGTTTTTATAATAAATAGGCAGAGGTTGCTGTGAGCTGAGATCGCGCTGCTACACTCCAGCCTGGCACCTGGCGACGGAGCAAGACTCTGTCTCAAAAAAAAAATTTTTTTTTTTTGACCACTTACTAAATATATGGAATATGTGGGACATTTGGAAGTATTAAAAACCAGAAAATAGGCATTTGTAATATTCCACAGTATTCCAGTGATCTACCCGGGAAAGTGGAAATGACTGACCTTCTTCTCTGCTTATGGTTACGATAGTGCTCATGAGCTCCAGGCCTTCCTCCCCGTTGGTGTTCACAGCACGAGCCGCACACTGCACCCGGGAGCCAGGCTGAAAGTATATGGAGTCCAGCGTGACCATCTTGGATGATGTAAAAAAGGTGTCGAAGTCCACTTCTCTCATAGGGCTGGTCACACCATCAGGGCCCGCGGGTGCACTAATCAGCCACCGATACCGGGTCAAAGTGTCATTGATGTTCTCACTTGCACAGATAGAACCTGTTTTATCGTAATCTGAATATTTGGGGTTGCAAGCCTGTGGAAAACAAACGACTGTGTTAGGAACAGAGTCGAGAACAGTGTGGAACCCATTCATCTCCAGTTCTGCCATTGAGTTTTCACTGCTGCCTTTCCTGATTTCTACATGTTGTTCATGCAGCTTCCAAATTTTGATTCCCAGCTATGATAGTGTTTATAAACTCTCATCTTGCATTTCAAACGTGTATTGGATGTTATTTCTAAGTTAATATGTGTAGAATTGCTATTTACATCATAATCTCTCAAATCATTAGGTTTGCCAATTATCTTTATTCTCTCTCTTTTCCTCCCTCCTTCCCTCTCTTCCTTCCTGTTCTCATCTTACTCCCCTTATCCAGTGAGTCATGAGCTTGACTGATTCTTCTTTTGTGATATCGCTTAAGTTGATGCCTTCCTTTCCATTCCCAGCAGCACCTCTCTGTCTAATTCAGTGTCTTTTCTTCCAGTCCATTGACACACAACTGCCCTGTTAACCTGCCAATTTCTAAATATGACATTTAAAACTCCCTATAATTTGACACCAAATTTTTATCTCTGCCTTGTTGACTCAATAAACATTTGTTGTGTACCTTTTATATATAATTGATTATAGAAGTGCTGTTGTCATATAAAAATAAGTAAGTCATAATTTTAGCTCACAAGGGGCTTGCAATTTAGAGTCAAGAGAAGGCAAATTTTAAAAGTAGTCATAATCTGCTATTTCTTATGCTATTTTTTCTAGCTGTAGCTCATATTATAATCCCTTCTTCCTAGAATGGTCTTCCCTTATCAGACTTGAATTCTAAACTATCAAAATTCCACCTGACCATCCCAAACCTCCCCTCATACAGGGAGCTTCAGCTCTAACTAATAATTTGTATCATTCTATGACAGTGGTCCATCTTGCCTTGTATTAGAGTTACCAATTTCTATATTCTTTTCTTCATTTCTAAATATCTTGAATGCACACTTCAAATCTTATTTATTTTTCTATAGGTGACAGACTGAGATAACACACTATGTACACATTAGTTAACGAACCTTTGTTGGGTGAAGAAAGAAAAACAGGACCTTTACTTGATTCTTGTTATATTTGCAAAGTTCAATGGTTAAACCATGTAGTATTTTTCTACTTTCATTTATTCATAACAAAGCCAATGCTATATTGATTACAGTTTGTAATTATTTAAAATAATTATCTTACAATTTTCCTCAATTTTGTGAATCTCCTACTCACTGTGACACAGATGACAGGATAGCCAGACACGGGTCCAGCAGTCTCCTTAGCTTTGGAAGTGTCATCATACATCAACAGGGACACAATTTGAGGGACAGAAGGAAAAGTGACATCTGCCATGCTGCTCATTTCTTCTATATACACAATGGCTTTAGTCACCTAGATGAAAAAGATAATTATCACTGATTAGTGAAATATTAAACTTTTTATGCTTCTTATGATGCAAATTGTCATACTCAGAGCCCCTGGAGTGCAACAGGCCCTAAATGGCCTGCTGCACATGACCTTCGCACCTTGTTCACATCTTTTGGTTCCAGGGGAGGGCAGCTGACCTGGGGCAGTCAGTCCAAAGGTTGGCCGGCAGCCCAGGAGGTGTTCGGGCTCTACATTTTTTTTCTCCGTTGTGATGACAGTAGCTAAATCTGTTTTGGGGTTGTGAAGGGAAGTTTTATGAAGAAGTCAATTCACTGACAGTGGGAGGAAAGCTGGAGGACATTCTGAGGGAAGGAAGATCACAGAGGTCTTGGGATGCTGTGAGCCTGGATGAAGCAGATGCCAGTAATAAGAAACTCTTTAAAGCAGCTGAGGGCAAAAGGCACCGCCTTAAACACAGGCAGGGAGAATTTGATTCCCAGACAGAAGAGGAATTTATGAACATCTGCTTCTGGGCAGGGTGAAAAGAGCACCTTGCTGTGAACTTGCCCTGGCTCCCAATAACCTTCCAACATCTGACTGCATATCATAGTTTCCCGAACTATCTTTACATGTATATTCTCAAAAGAAGCTTTCATCACTGGAAGTAATTTGAGCGAATCTTTATTCTTTTTACCCAAGAGAATTTCATATGCTACTCCATAAAAATAATAAAAGATTCATCTTATGTGATGAAGACATAAAACTATATTTGACAAAGATTGCCCATACTTGAATTTTAAATGACTTGCTAAAAAGCAAGGCACTGTAGTAGAAAAACCATCAAGCAGTAAAGATTACAAAATGGTAAAAATATTTAAGGAAAAAAATTTCCCAGCTGGAACTCATACTAAAGTGAAACAAATTTAAAAAGGTAATACAGTAAATTTAAGCAAAGATATAAAAAATTAATACATTCCAAAAACAGATGTAGTTTTCAAAATTATTTCCAGTGTAAAGGTCAACATTCTGTGGAATTATGTTCATTTTGAGGAAAATTCTGGTTAATGAGACAATATAAATTAAGTAAGTATGGATAATAAGATTTAGGACTACAACATTTTGATCATGAGGCTGTGGACATCAAATTCTGATAAAGCCAGGAGAAACAGATCTTGATCTGGAGGGTTAGCAAACTGCTTTGTGGGTTCAAATATATGTTTTACGAGTTGTGGCGTTGAATTAATAGTTCCCTCTTTACTCTGAGATGCTGCTTTCTCTCTGATGGTTAATCCCAAGGTCAATCAATCATATTGACTGACATGGGAAGGGTAGTGCACTGGTTTCGGGCTCAGTGACTTCAGTCCTTGAGTGTCCACAAACATGATTTTTCAAAGAAAAAGGAATTTCTTGACTATGATCTAATCAGAACAAAATATATTAGGTGGTAAAAAGAGATTACGCATATCTCTTTCATGTAAGGCTTGTACAAGCTCTCCTCATTTTATGGTACACTATGTGATTGCTTTTATGCATTTTCTCTGATGAAGTGCTGACCATGAATTTACATACACATTACATTACTTACCTGCGTCTCTGCTATCATATTTTCATCAGGCTTTAGGTGAACAGTGAAGGCCTCTCTCATCTCTCTCACCTCATCAAAGATAACTTCGATTTCAACCACGTGCTGGGTTTCTCCTTCCTTAAACTCAATTTCTACAAATGCAAAAATCACAGATTTAAATTGTTTGCATATGAATATAAGAAGTTTTCTATCAAGCTTTTTAAAACTGTGACTTACAATGAGAAATACGTTTTACACTGTGGTCCAGTATATTTGGCTGTGTGTGTAAAATGAAATCAAATGTTTAATGAACACCACCTATTTTTACTCATTTTACTCTAATATTTTCTTTTTTTCCCAAGACTTTAATTTTATTTTTATTTTTTATTTCCATAGTGTTTTGGGGAAACAGGTGGTGTTTGGTTGCATGAATACACTCTTCAGTGGTGATTTTTGAGATTTTGTTTCGCCCATCACCTGAGCAGCATACACTGTACTGGATTTGTAGTCTTGTATCCCTCACCTCCCTCCCACCCTTTCCCCAGAGTCCCCAGAGTCCCCAAAGTCCACTGTATCATTGCTATGCCTTTGCATCCTCACGGCTTAGCTCCCACTTATGAGTGAGAATATACAATGTTTGGTTTTCCATTCCTGAGTTACTCCACTTAGAATAATGGTCTCCAGTTCCATTTAGGTGGCTACGAATGCTGATTTTATCTGAAGGAAAATTTTAATAATAAGACATTGGTTTGTTGGCCCATAGTTTGAAAAGATGCTGAATTACAGGAGTCACAATCAGTAGTTCTAATATCAGGACATAATCTGAAAAATTAACCTCTTATTCTCCAGAGTTTCTAAACCAATAGGACTCAAGACAAATGAATGTGATCATAGGTATAATACAGTGTGAATGGGATTTACATTATGTATATATATGGATATATAATTGTTGAGTTTTTTATATAATATCATATTATATTTTAAAAGACTTCTTTTTGGGCTGATATCCAGAATCTGCAAAGAATTAAAACAGATTTACAAGAATAAAACAAAAAGGGCTTCTGTCGTGAGTGGCACACATAGAGCAACTCGATTGCTCTTCGTGCGGAATCGACATCAAGAGATTTCAGAAGCATAATTTTTTGGTATTTGGGCAGCTGGTGATCATTGTTCCTGGCACCCTTTAAAAGAAAAAAAAGAAGAAACAAACAAACAAACCCATTCCAAAATGGGCAAAGGACATGAACAGACATTTTTTAAAAGAAGACATTTATGAGGCCAACAAACATGAAAAAAATGCTCATCATCACTGATCATTAGAGAAATGCGAATCAGAACAAGTCAAATACTGCTTGTTCTCACTTATAAGTGATAGTCAAATAATGTGTACACGTGGACATCAGGTGTGTAATGATTAACACTGAAGACTTTGGAGGCTGGGAGAGTGTCAGGGGCCGGGTATTGAGAAATTACTTAATGAGTACAATGTACATTATTTGGGTGATGGATATACTAAAAGACTAGACTTCACCACTACACAACATAACAATGTAGCAAAACTGCACTTGTTCCCCTTAAACTTACACTCCCCCAAAAGAGTGTTCTATTTTTATTTCAATTGGATGTTCCCCTTCTTTTCCTTAAGGGCACTGGCACTAGAACACAGAGTTGGCATGACCCATCAGGAGACAGGTACTGGAAACCCTGTACCTTCTGACACAGGGTGGTAGTCTTCTCCAGAGGTGGCAGAACCATCCTTGGTGTGGACTCTCACGATGGAAACCTTTGAAGTGTCTCCTTGGCGAATCACTGGAATTCTTATAACCACTGACTCTCCAGGTTCTTTGGGTTCAGTGACACTAAATTTGGTTTCTCCAAATTTAATAACAGCCTCTAAAATTGTGGGAAACACAGACAAATGAAACTGTTAGTAAGGGGAATGCTTTCCCCTCATTTCTAATGTTTATTTCCATGTGGGAGGGGCTTAGTGACTATTCCATCCCTGGCTTCTCTCTGTCCCCTCACTCAAAATTAGTGGTGTGTGTGGAAGGAAAAGCAGGCATGTGTTTTCCAGCTCCTTCCTGGGATTTAACCAGCCCCCAGTGAGCATGTGCTCCCAGCTGTCTATATGTGCCATAAATTACACGTGAGCAAGTCACTGAAGGTGGGTGGGGAGGGAGGAAACAGTTAATACCCTATACTCAAGGGTGTGTACAGAGTAGAGAGCAGGTATGGATGTTTGGGATTCAGTGTTTGGATATAAGCCATATTCTCCAAGGTCAACTTTATCAGTTTTAATGGTTTATTTTGTTCCCCATTTGTATGTCTTTTTTCTATTTCTCAATTGCTTAAGAACACTAGTCAGAAAGCAGGGGAGGCGGGGAGATTTTTCTGAGCCACTTAAAACCTTGACTTGGATGGATTTTAGTTCCCAATTTACTGTTGAACACACACAATAAGTGACTTCTTACTATCAGCATCATCTTGGATCCTTATGAGAGTTTCGTTTTGTTCACCAACTGCAGCCCCAAAGGGAGAGTTGCTTTGTGGCGTGCCGAGGACCAGGCGGAGTTCCTCGACCTCCTCATAGAGCACGTCATCCATCAGCTCAAGGATGCAAGGCTTTTCTGTCTCACCTGGAACAATAATGCTAGCAGGTTAATCACGTCCCATAGGAATATATCTACAAGTAGGAATGTGAGCACCAAGGGCAAGCATGTTGATTTTGAACTGCTGTATCAGTTCAATACGTAGGGTTTGTCATGTAATAAGCCTTCAATAGATATTTGTTGAATAAGTGAATAAATATTTAAGTACATGCAATGACAGGTCCTTATTTGTATGTGGAATTTCTTTAATTTCTGTCTTTAAGCTCATTGCCACACATCTTAGAAAACAAGAGGAAAAGCTCAAATGCCAATTTTGCTTATGAATTTCTAGCATTACATTAAGAAAGCAAGATTAGCAGCCTTGCATGTGCTGGTCATTGTTAATTTGACCTCAACACTAGTTTCTAGTATTAGCAACTTTTGACTTACTAAACAAATCATTGAGCCAAGTTTAATACCCAGCATTGTAAAATCTGTACATATGATATGCTCTTGTCCGCTGAATAAGTTTTAAATAAACCATATATCACATCACTGGAAATCAATCAGTTAATGCAGATACCATAAAGGGCATTCATTCAACTTGATAAAAATCGATCTCACTTTCCTCATTTAGTGCACATAAAACCATGCCATAAGCCTGTTCATATCAAGGAAGTTGTATTTTCCTGATACATATTTCTGAGTAAAAATTTGGCTTCTTCAAATTTCTCAAAAACATTTCAAGTGAAGCTTACCAGGGAGGAATGTAATGATGGAGATATCAGTGTTTGGGCGTTCTTCAAAGTCCATCATCACCTGTGCAGACCCCTGCCGGGTGTAGCATCTCACTGAAGATCTGTACTGGACATCCCCACTCCTATGGATCATTGTAACTATCTGCCCATCACTTTCACTGCCAGTATATATTCGTTCTTTGAATTGCATCTTAGGTACTGCAAAAACAAACAAAAGATCAAAGTGAACAGAAATTTCCTTGTGGAAAATGGCGTTTCAGAAGATGTGGTTTAGTGGAAAGGATAATGAAACGTAAGTGAGAAGAACTGGATTCTGTCTCCATTCAGTCACTTGCCGATGTTTTGCCTTGAGCCAATTACTTAAGAGTTATCTTTGACATTTCGCTCTGCCTGTTTGGTAAAGTAAGGCTATAGAATGAAATGCTAACAAGTGGATAAAACCACAAACCTTAAGATATTTGAATCTATATGTTTCCTAGTCATGAGACTTTCAGAATTTCTTGACATGAAGAACACTAAATATTGTGCACATAATTATAAGCATAGTTTACTCAGATCATGTTGGGAAAGTTGACTGTGTGTGTGTATGTGTGTGTGTGTGTGTGACAGAGAGAGAGAGAGAGAGAGACTTTTTAGGTGACACCTATGCTAGGTCAATGATGTATAGGGATCATTGACAATAGGTGAGACTCTCCCAAGCACTGTCGGAATCATCATGATTGAAGAGTGTTCAGAATTCCCTTGCGATGACGCATCAGAGAGCTCTGCCATGTGTCCAGCAAAGGGTTGTCCCAGAACAGCATTTTGGCACATTATTAGAGAAATGTTACGAGCGTCAAGGGGAAGGAGATGAAAGAAAGTGTCTTGTGCTGGGAAGTGGAGAAGGATCATTGACACTCAAGGGTCTGTGCAGTTCCACATGGTTCCACCCATCTGTGGTGAGGAGAATTCTTGAGGTACAATCAAGATACTGATGACATCACTTTTTTTTTCTTAAAAGTTTGAGAGGAAGAATAAAAGTTTTATTCTGATACTGTCTAATTCTGTCAAAATCATCAGGAAGAGAAAGTGTGGTCAGCTAGGGTATTTGAATGAGTGGGACTGTGTCCCCCTAAAATTCATATGGTGAAATCCCAACCCCCAATACCTGAGGATGTGATCTTATTGGTAGGTTGGGTCTTGGCAGAAGTAATTAAGTTAAAATGAGGTCATTAGGGTGGGCTCTAATCCAATATGACTGATGTCCTCATAAAAAGGGTAAAAATTAGACAGAGACACATACAGGGCACATGATGTGAAGAGACATAGGGACAAGATGGCCATCCTCAAGCAAAGAAGAGGGGCCTGGAATATCCTTCCCTGATGCCCTTCAGAAGGAAGCCTGCCAACACCTTAATTTTGGGCTTCTAGCCAACAACTACGAAATAATAAATTTCTGTTTTTTAAGCCACCCAACAGTAGACTTTGTTATGGAAGCCCTAGCAAACAAATATATATATATATATATATATAGAGAGAGAGTTTAGCATCTTGCTCATCATATATATATATATAAACCTTAGCTTATCATTTCACTTATCATTGGAAAATTAATAAACACTCACAATCGGAGACAGAATCATTTATGGACACTGTGGCTTTGCTGGGCTCCCCGAGGGCTGCATTCATAGGCATACGCAGCACCAGTTCAAATTTCTCAATTCCCTCCAGCACTGGTTGTCCTAGATCATCCAGAATGACAACACGAACAGGCTGCATGTTGACTCCAGGTGCAAAATCTAAATTACGGCTGATGCCCACATAGTCTGTTCCAGCTATGACAGTAAAAAAAAAATAGTCAGTTGGGGACTAATTAAATTGCAAAAAATTATAAGACATACATCATGTAATTATATTTGTAATTTTTTTAAAAATAGAGATCAGCATAACCCTACAAAAAATACATTTAATAAAATGCAAAAGATTAGTATCTACATAGCTACGTTGGTGGTAGAGCAAAGATCAGCTGCTGAACTTTATCTATGTTTCATGGTTAGACTTTGGATTGGCTGTAGTTCCTCTGTGTTATAGTTCTTCTAACTTTAGTTTGAAAATTCTCTAATAAGGGTAATAAAAATCAGGCTTAGAAAAATCAGCATATCAATTTATGATCCTCATAAATTACATATGAAATATAGACATTTAAAATTTTGTTAACATTAATTAAGTATTTATATATCTTTGCTGGACCTACCACAGAACATCCTACTTAGGTATATGGTTGCCTGTTAGTTAAAGCAACACATTTACGGTACCAGCTCTGCCCACACTCCACCCACCCTTGTCCCAGGCAGAGAGAGGCTTCTACTCTCAGAGGTATATTTGATCTTTAATATTTTTCAGATAAAGGGAGCTATATCTAGTGTTGATACCTCCATTCATATCTAAAGTAGTTTAAAACAAAACTGTCTTTTAATCTGTAGCTACTACATCCACAAAGACTGACAGTGGTGGGAAATAGCTGAATGCTGCTGCTTCTTTCTTTGTTTTTATAGCTTCTGCTCTTCTGACTCTCGTTCTGTATCCACTTTGCCTCTGAATGTGCAACTTTGCTTGAGTATGTCTGTCTTTAATTCACTTTGTAGAATGTCAGTGTCTCCTTGTGGTCCTTTTTACACTTTTTCTTTTCCTCTGCTTCTTCCCCTTTGCTCTTATTTCTCTCTCTCCCTCCCCTCATCTCTGATTTGAATCTTTCTCTTAAAAATGACTAATTTAGTTAAACAAATGTTTACTGGGCACCTGCTACATGCAAAGTACTATACTGCTTCCACTACATTAAAAAAGTTAAAACCTAAGGGTGACTTTTAAAATGGTATAAGCTGTGCTTGCTTTGTGTGATGTGTGTATGACATGCCTGTATGTTCTCATGTGTGTGTACTTGAGAAAGTTTGTATTGTTGGTCATTTAGAAAAAAAAAAAAGGAAATTTTGAATTCTATGCTTGCTGTAAACTTTATAATCAACTTTTTGGAGATGTAGATCCTGGAATAAAAGATGTGCTAGTTAGTACATTTTTTATAATGAAGTATGGAAAAAACCTTTTGGATCTGAAGTATTTATAGGGACACATGGTTAAAATAAGGAGACAGCCAACTGAAGACACATGCCTGCATAATACTTAAATGTCATAGGTTTCTGTGGGGATAGATTATGTGCAGCAAGATGATTTTCCTGCATATAATGCCACAACATTCAACAATATTAGATTTTCTGAGAGTAGAGAACCACTTCATGGAAACATAGGCCTTAGTATATAGATCCTGTGAGTCTTGTGTTTGTAACCTAGCTTCAGATTCATGGCGCTTAAACGTACTTTCCCAAAGCAGTAAACAAAGCCTAGGTTTACCTCCTAGAGTAATAACTTCAGCAAAAACAATACACTCAGCCAAACTGCTTTAATAGAAGTGAAGTATTTCAGCTTTAAATAAATTTGTGCCATGGTCACTGAAAATTGCAGAACAACTGAAAGAACCGAGTGGGAAACTGCTCACCCTCTGCAGAGGGAGGATCTGTTTTCCGAGATCTCACTGTGACACTAGAAGACTTGGACAGGTCCGTGCCCATTCTCCACACCCGCACTTCCACGGAACCAGCATTCTCATCCACAGAGTATTCCACATCACTGAAGTAGAAGATGGGTTCTGTCAAGAACGGAACACAAATCATTTCTGTTATTTTTAATTTTTCACATCCAACTCTATTGGCATGATTCCAAAGAAGAGTGTGCTTCCTGTTAGGGACTCCTTGTATCATCACACTTTTTCCTTTTAGTAAGGTAACGTCTCTTCCATAGGTACTTTTCAGGTCAAAATATTACTGCTTAACAATCAAACATAAGCACAGTAAAGTGCCTAATAAAATATCTTCCTCCTGAGGCATGAGTTTGTCCTTCATATGTAGGATGATAAGGGGCTTCTAAAAGTGCCTCTGGAAACTTGGTTGGAAAAATAGAACTAAGTGAAACAAAACACATACCTGATTATTATTTTTTTTTAGTTTGGCCCAGCCACTCCCTTAATTATCTTCTACCAAGTTTCCACTCTGGAACAGAGCTATAACTTTTTGCATTATGCCATTTTCTGGTCCATTAGATTTGAGCTTAATTCAGTGTATATGGGCCTGCTATGATCACGAGGGTTAGAACCTACTGTCTGTAACTAGACTGAAGATTGCTAGTCCTGAAGACTGCAGGGCCTGACTACCAGTTACCTGTAGAGCATTGGAGATGCTCTAGAAAACAAGTGAGATTTAACTAAATAAATAATCTCATACTAAGAGGTTAATATTAATTCTAAAGACACATGAAAATGAGGCAAATTCGATCACTATACTAGGGCACATGCTTTGGGGACTTTGTATTTTTTTCCAATACTGGTGATAAATTTGAATTGATCTAATTATTGTTTCTGCCTCACTCAACCTGTGACCAATGGTCTAGCTTGTGGTAGAGGTGCCAGAAGTCTGAGGTTTAGCAGTCAGCTGACCAATGAAAAAACAGAGATTTAATTTGTGAGCTTACTGTAAAAAACATAATTCATTTCCAGATATACAGAGACCCACAGGAAGTTGCAAAAGTAGTATATACTTCACTAATTGTGAGCTTATCTTTATAAGCAAGTATTAAGAAAGATAAATTACATCACTCAGAATGAAGATTAATGATAATAGTTACCATGTATGAACAGACACAGGTGAATGTATACACTTAAGGTGAACAACCCTTTGACTTGACACATTCTAGTCATCTGTCTCCAGTTTTACAAGATTCAAAAGGACTGAATCTAAGAGAACATGCAACTCACATTACTGTTCCTTAAGAAGGAAGGTCACTGAAAAGATGATATCATGTTTCAGAGCAACTAAATGAATTCCCACACATACCAAATCAAGCAAAAGTCTACAGCACTGGCTCACAAAGCCACTTAGAAAGCCAAAGAAAATTCATTTTGTGCATTGTTCAAGTTGAGTATGATTTCTTTATTTTCCAATAAATTACCTTTATTTAAACTAGAAAAGTTTGTTTTCTTTGTTTCTTCATATGGTGGGCATGATAAAAATCGTACAGCTCTCTCAAATTCTTCAATAGTACAAAACCAACCTTAGAAATTCTGTTCACATACTTTGGTTCAGGGGGTGATAAATGTCCCTACAGCATAGTTTGCCTCCTTCTTATCCTTTTAACTTGGACGGTGCTAGGGCACATGAGTGTACGTGTACAGATGAAGGTGTTATCTGTTAACCTCAGTCAAAGCAGACCTCAACTGCAAGCCAATACATTCCTGACATTTCTCACACCGAGGTAGGGGGCAAAGGTGAAGACAGAGAAGCTCTGAAAAGGCATCTTCTGACCAGATGGCCAAACCAGGCACATCTGTAAGCCTTTTAAAAGGCTTCCATAATTATCATGAAGGCTTGATCACCTGCATCCAACAAGTGATCTCTGTAAGTCTCTTCACATTCCTGGCAAACTACATCATTGCCCAAATTAGTTTTCTGAGTCATGGGAGAGAGCTGTGAAATGCAGTTAAGGGAGGACCTATTATTTAACAATGATACCTCCCCATCTTCCCATCTCCCAACTCCTCGCAAACACATAACAAAAAAGGAACACAATAAAATCACGTGAGTGAATAGACAACCGTGAAACACCAAATAAGCTACACATTGGGGACCAAATGGTATGCTGCATGCTTCAGACTCATTCTATCAACTCTAACACAGGTGTTTTTACTTTACAGCTTAATGTGTAGTTTTTATTAAAAAAATATATGGAAGTCTTATATATGTAGTACTCTGAAAACTTTAAGTTGTCATTCAAAATGAAGATGAATGAGTTTACCATATATGTACAGACACATGTGTTTTATATGCATGTGTGTGTATTTGTGTGAGTATGTATGTCAGCAATACGGAGAGAAAGCGGTTGGGGTGGCATGGCATGTGACAATGTTAGAAAAATAAAAACGATATGAATGATGCAAACAACATTATTATGTTGCCTATTGCACAATATAGTGTTATCTCCTGTAGGAAGAAGGAGGGGTAATGGAAATGGGATTTTAACCCTAAATCCTTCAACTTTAATACAGTGCTAATAAAAGGAGAAAAGTTAATTAACTACTTCCTTAAAGCTTTTGATTATGAGTAGATTTATTTATATGATTTTTCTCCCTCTTTGTGCTCCACTCATGATGATTGAAAAACTGGTCAAACAATCAATTGAAATTACTGAAGTTAAAGTTTGAAGTGATCATTATGAGATTAAAACACATTCAATAGTTTCTACATAAAAAAAAAGAAAAGAAACTCTGCTAACTACCTACTTTCTTGTGCCTGAATAAAAAATAGCTAAACATCAGCATATTTTTTTCAGGGTTAGATGAGTGAGAACTAAAAAGAAGTAACAATTATGTTTATTTCAATTTCTCATATCTTTTCAAAATATCTAAAATTTGAATGTTGTTTATAATCATGACCACTGGGACAAAACGTTATGTAATATGAATGAGTTAAAGATCACATCAAGGCGTGGGTTGAGTTATAGATGTCACTTAAGAAAAATATGTTCCTGGGACATTTTAATGAGTACTAAGCTAGAAGAAGGAATAAAATAATAAATGGATGAGACTGTCATGCCTTTGAAAGTTATCTACTCAAAAATCCAGAATAACTGCTTGTCCCAAAAAATTATTATTTATGAATAAGACTTTTAACTCACCTGTTTCTTTGATAAACTTTTTTTTTTTTTTTTTTTTTAGAAGGGCAGAATTGCAGATTTCATCTCTGGTGGGTCTCTTGACACTTTGATGCATGGTAGTGCTATCCCTGAATGGAGCCTAAATACTTCAGCCACCCGAGTAACTGGGATTACAGGCGCACACCACCATCCTTGGCTAACTTTTTTTTTTTTTTTTTTTTTTTTTTCCCTACAGTTTAACCAGCCCTTTCTTTGATATTTTTTTTTTTTTTTTTTGGCTTAGGAACTTGGTTTCTTTTAAGAAAATAAGTAAACTGAAGACCTTTATAGATCAGTTATGGAACTACCCCTACCCCTATTGCAACTTAAAATAAATTAGAAGTCTGTTCAATTTTTTAATTCATTTCTTAAATACACACTGTGCCTTGTACCATGTTTAAATTCACAGACTTAAAGGATAAAACAGTCAGTGGACGGTATTATTACCTGTAATGAGAGGATGATCAAATAAAGCCATACATCTCACAGCCTACACCCACCTAAGACCATAAAACAGTCATTGCTCATCACTCCACCACCCTCAGATGACACTCCAGAATGCAGAGGAAAGATAAGTTTATCCAAATTGTCTGTGAGCAGTGCAAAGGAGGTTTTGAATTGGACTGGTGAGTGTGAAATTCATAAGGGAAGCCAAACTCCACGCTCCATCCCTTGAAGTCTTTATACTTTTAAATGAAGAACACAGATCAAGGCATTGACTACAGAAAAGTCTCTTTTAGCTCATTAAACATAAATGCGCTTCTCAAAGTTGGGGATAATTTCACTACCCACAGCACAGAAACGATCACATTTATTTCCTACAAATGTAGAAAAGGTGGCCAGGTGGTGAGCAATATAGCACACATACCTGCAACAAAGACAAAGAGAAAACAATTTAAGTTTCTTTCCCAGAGGGAAAAAGTGAACTTTTTTTTTCAGTGTCTAGATGGATGTTTACAATTACAGTGTGTCTCATGAGATGAAAGGAAGAGGTGTCAGTAGTAATTGCTATCTGGAGCCAAATCTTATTTACTCACGTGCACATAGACCATCATTCAAGTAAGCTTTGTAGATCTAACCAATGTGTTTGCTTAGAACTGAATGAAGTAAAAGCTTTAAATGCTTTTTCGTCCAGTGCTGAAAATAATACAAAGGAATTGTTTCCAAATGAAATCTTTCTTCTGAGATTTGGACCCTGAAAACTTACTGCCTAGTCAAGCCATGTCCCATGGGCACCTCAAGGTGACCTTCTCCATAATGGAGTCCACAGGGTCACCTCCACTCCCCTTCCCCTGGTTTCTCTCTGTCTTATTGCAACTAATCTAGCTGCAGGCAGTAACACCTTCCATTTGAATTTTCCCAGCAACCACTCAACTAGGCTCTTAAGGAAAGTGATCATCCCTCAAAGCAAATCTCATCATGGTACTCCCTTTGCTGAAAGCCTCTCAACTTTCCTTACTGCTCTTGGGATTATTCACAAGCTACTTAACATGGTTTACAAGACACTGAAACATTTGGGCTTGGTTTGCCTTTTCAACCTCGTATTTCAACCCTTTTCTACTAAACAATCCAGTGTCTCAAATGTGCCCCTCCCAACCTTTGGTCTATGGCTGCTGCTGCTTTGAATGTTCCTCCTCATCCAGATACCTCCTGCTCTGCTCATCTTCCAAGCTTCTGCAGAAAAGTCACTTCTGTGGGGAGCACCCTGCTTTCCCCTAACAAAGCCCTTGCTCATCTTCTACTGTCACTGTGAGTATGTCCCCTACTGTCTCTGAACTCTGTAAAGGGAGGAATCAAGCCTCCTCTATTCACTGGTACTTCCCTAACATTAGTTTAATCAATGCAATAGGTGAGCAATCAGTATTTTTAGAATGAATTTACATCAAAGTAGAATTATTTATTTGC